CTTTTTCGGCCCTCAGAAAAAAAGTGACGCCTTCGAGCCTCGACGCCCGCTCGTCGTCCGTGTCCCACGAGGACCACGTGTCCTCCAACAGCGACGAGGAGGAGGACGAGGACAACGTGGAGATCTGTGTGGACGACGACGACCAGCAGTCCGCCACAGGCGACCTGGATGAGGAGGAGGACAGGACCAACCAACTGTTTAACGGTAAGTCATCTTTGGCTTTTTGCTTGTTTTGGGGAGATTTATTTTTTTGCTTGTCTTCATTTCCCCCCATAACATTATTGTTCTTTGTTCATTTATTTATTTATTTATTTATTTTGAACAATAATTCTTCATTGTGTTATTGTCATTTATTCATTCAGTTCGAATGGATTTTGTTAAAGTGACATTGTTATTTAAAAAAAATAATTTTGAAAAATTCATTTATTTTAAAATAATTGTTGTAACGTTGTTGTTGTTGTTTATTCAATTAAAAATACAACAACAACAATTTTAATACTTATTGTGTTATTGTTATGTATTCACTTATTCTCTCATTCAAAAAATAAACACTTATATTAAATTATGAAACCTATTATATTATTATTATATCAATGAAATTGTTAGTGTTTTAAAAAAATTGTTATTATTATCATTGCGTACATTCTACTTATTATTATTATTGTTACTGTTATTGTTGTTGTTATTATTATTATTATTGTTGTTGTTGGTGTTTTTGTTGTTTTTGTTATTATTTTACTATTGCCATTCCATTGTCACTTGCAGACGGGCGGAGAATGGAGGTGGACCCGGAGACCCTGGGCTCCGAGGAGAAACTGTCTCTGGACTCTGGCAGACGGCACGACTCGGCGCCAGGCCGGGGCTCGCTAGGCCCGGAACCGCGTCAGCGAAGCCAGAGCCCACGCCGCAGTGCGCCGGCGGAGCCCGAGGCGGCGGCGTTGGGAATACGCGGTGGCGGTGAGGATAGTAACTGTGACGGTGAAGACGGTCATAGAGTGAGGGACGCGTCTGAGGAGGGTGAGCGTGAAGATGCCGCCGATGATGGCGGCAAAATCACGCCGCCACCACCGCCGACTCCGGTGAGGAGTAAACCTGTTCTGAAGCATAGCGCGGAGAGTTTGATCGCCCGCACGCCGCCGCCTCCTGCTGCTCCCGCTACGTCGTTGTCATCATTATCGTCCACATCGTCTTTACCTTCAGCTGCTTCAGTTCACGGACAGCAACAGCAACTTGAAAAACCTTGTGGTGGTGACTCAAACGATGAGATGGTGGTGGACGAGGTGGTAGAGTGTTCGCCCTCTGCGAAGGCTGCTTCTAAAGACTCGAACCACAATAGTACAAGAGACTGTGAAAATATGGCAGACTCCACTAGTAGCAGCAGCCATCGTCGCTTAGCGTTTTCATCGTCGTCATCATCATCGTTTTTGAGGCATCTGGGAGACAATGTGGATTCTGAGAACCGTCGACGAGAAAGAAGACCGTCTGTGGATGAGGTGGGTGGGGGAGTGACGAGACACGATTCTTCAGACTGCACAACGACAGCAACAACAGATGGTGGTGTCGTTGGTGGTGGTGGTGGTAACAGAAGCTCGGGTCTACACTCGCCCGACGGTTACAGCGCCGACTCGGAGTCCGAGCAGACAGCACGCACAACACGACAACAACAACAGCAGCAACAGCTTTCACCTCCTCACGTACACACGCACGCGCCCCACCACCATCAGCACCAGTCCCCGCATAGACTAGCGGGACACCCTCACAGCGCCCCGCACGCCGGCCTACCTTTGTCTCATCATCATCACCAACATCATCATCACCAACATCATCATCATCATTCTCGGGAGCAGGTGCTGTCCAGGCACGAAGAACAATTGAAAGAACAGTTGAAACAGCAACAGCAGCAACAGAGTCATCATTACCAGCACCTCCTGCGGCTGGAGTCGGACAAAAGAGACTTATTATTCGAAAAGGAGAACCGGTTCCTCCAGGAACAGAAACTGCTGGCCAAGGACAGCCGCAGCCCGCCCAACGTAACGGTTTGCCAGCGGTCGCCGCTAGGTCACCCACACCCGTCTCTCTTCCCAGCCTTCCACCCGCATCTGTTCGCCACCAGCGCGGCCTCGGCGTTTCACCACCCGATGGCTTCTCTCTACATCAATACCATGGCGGCCGCCGCCACACACCCGCACATCTTGCCGCAGCTCGCCGCGCAGTCAACGCTCTCCTCCCTACCCTCCTCTCCGTCTATCTCAGCGGCTGCAGCGGCGATAACTGCCGGCGGCAGAAACACGCCGCCGCCGTCCGCTGTCTCTCCTCCTCACCAGCTTCGATCTCCTTCTTCTTCTTCTTCCGCCGGCGGTGGCGTTGGCGGAAACCCGCCGCCGCAGCCAGCTCTGTCCACCACCACCACCACCACCCCTTCCTCCGTCTCCTCTCCGCTTTCCTCAACCTCTCCTACTTCCTCCTCACCTCCTCCTCATCCTTCCTCTTCGACCACGTCCTCCTCAGCCCTCAACAACATATTCCTCGGCTCCCTGCCCCATCACCCGGCCCACCCAGCCCACCACCCCCATTCCCACCACCCCGCCTCCCTCCCAACATCTCACCCCGTCGCCATGGCGCGCGCGTTGGCGGCCTCCGCCGCGTTGCCGCTGTCGCACCCGCTGGCGTTTCTTCCACGCCACGCGGCGTCCCTGGGCCCAATCTTTCACGGCCGCTCTCCCCCCAGCCGCTTCCACCCGTACGCGGCGAACCCCGTGAGCCCCGGAGCCCCTCTGTCGCCGGACGAAGCCCAGTCGGGCACGAGTAGCCCCACACATAGCCCCTCCTGCTCGCCGCTGATGAAGGGCTCGCCCTCAGGGGTAATCAAACCCGTACCCATCCCTCGAGAGATCGGACTCAACCTCTCCACCACCGACAACAGGGTTCTGTCTGTCTGAGGGAGAGAGGGAGAGAATCGATGAATGAGAGAGGGAGAGACTGACAGAGAGAAGACAAGAAACAGAGAGAGAAAGAGGGAGACTGAGGTAGAGAGGTGGAAAAAGGCCACCCTAGTCTTTGACAAGAAACAAGCACACTTTTTAGGATGTGTTTTTGGAGTATGTTTTTTTTTTTCCATTTCTCCGACATTGGAAATGGCCCATATAAGGAACAAAGTAAAAACTGTTAAAAGACAAATCCTTGTTCTCTTCTAGTCCCCAAGAGGGTAGGCGAAGACTTTTGGCCACAGAGAGGCACTAAATTATTTCATGTGTGATGACCAAACAGCACTAGAAGTGCCGCAAAATTTAGAGGGCGCTTTTATTATGACCTTATGTAGTTTGCGAGCGCCGTAAAACTCTAACTAAATAAACTGAAAACCCTGGAGGAAGTTAAGAGAAGAGAAGCTGTCAATGCCTCTGACTATGGCTACCAAGAAGGGGAGCTGTCTTCCCTGAACATTGGGGTCGGGTTGGAAAGGTTCTTCGAACAGGGCGCCCTGTTAGCTCAGTTGGCATCATGCTGCACTACAGAGCGGATCGCCCAGGTTCGAGTTCCAGACTGGGGCATTCTTGAACTCGGGTCTTTTTTTCTGGAGTCGTCCAGACTCTCAACCCATCTGGCTCCGCCTTATTGTAGACTGACGTTAAGTCCAGAGGTCCAGCCTCTTAAATAACCTAACAGTCTTGATAGGGGTTTAAAACACACACAATTGACTCTTCGAACCCCAAACTCTGTGGTGGGGGTGGGGGGAGGCCTGTACTGGGCTTTAAACGCTACCATTTTGCTTCGTCGGTTGTTCCAAAAAGGAACAGAAAAAAACAAAAAAACAAACAAGAAATGTATGTTCTCCAGTGATTCGGTATGTACGAAACTCGAGATCTGTACTACATTGATATAATATCTCGTAGTTCCTGATTTTGTCCCCAGTTGTTCACCGCTACACCAGGGGAGTTAAAGTGGGGCAGTTTGAATTCATCACTGGCATCGGTTTGGTTTGGTTTGGTTTTGTCTTGTTTAGTTTTTGTTTTTGGTTTGTTTTTGTTTTTGGTTTGCTTTTGGTTTTTTGGTGTCTTTTTTAAAATTTCAAATGTTTTACACCCCAATCGACGCAGTTTAGCATCAATACAGTTTAGATCATTTTATTTAGAATTCCTCTTGAGGAGATAAAAGTCTTTATAGTCTTGCCTGTTATGCTAGACTTGGTATTTTCTTGGGGGCTTCGACTAGAAGAAGATAAAACTGTTTCGTTCTTCTTGTTTGGAAAAAAAATAAGACTCTACTCAGATTCGAACCATGAGCATTCTTGCTTTGGCAAAATTCGTCCTGCAATTGCGCACGCACAATGAACAAACAAAACAACCTTGTTTGGTCCTTTTGTTTCTGCCAGTGGTTTAGTAATAATGTACGTTTGTTTAGTAAAGGTTTTAGCCGGAAAAAAGAATGTGAATTTAATACATAATAATATGCAGCAAGAAATGGTTGCATTACTTTGAAAGAAGCTAGATACAGTGTGTATTTATTTGTGTGACAAGTGCCGTAAAGCTCTTACTGTTGAGTAATTATTGTTTTATACCCTTGTTTTATGCAGTACTAAGACAGTAGTACAACGTTTTTTCTTCACTTTCTTTTTCAGAATTGCAATGTTAGATCTATAGTTGTTTGGGGGGTCTTTCTCTGGTAATTATTATGCGTCTTTTTTTGTGTATTTATAAGAGTACAACTGTACTGTCATACTAATAATTTAGATCTAGATTTTTGTTTTTGTTTTGGGTTGTTTTGTTGTTGTTGTTTTGTTTTTGTTTTTTTGGGGGGGGGTCTTTTTTGTTTTGTTTTGATTGGAGTGAGGGGGAGGGGGAGGGGGAGCGGGCTTATTTTTCCGGTTAACTGTGTCTAAAAGAGGGGGAAAGACCAAAAGACTTGTTATTTTATGAATATCCTTGGAGCTTGCGGCCATTAATGTTTTTTTTAAATAAATTATTATTACGTTGTTGTTATTGTTGTTGGGAATTGTACTACGCCGTTTGGGGAAGCCCAATAGTTTGTTTGTTTGTTTGTTTGTTTGTTTGTTTGTTAAAACTCTTTTTAGAGCATTATATTTTACCATTAATGTCAAATTCTATGACATATTATACTCTACAATTTTAAGTCATGATGTCAAAATAGAATGGTTTTCTGCTATTTTATTTAACATTTTCGTTTATCTTTCATTCAACCAGAAACCTTTGATGTTTTGTTGGTTTGTTGTTTTTTTCTCTACTTTTTTTGGTACTTTGACACTTTTTATCTGGATACCTCAAGGAGAATAGTTTCTATTACTTCGTCCGCTGCTCCATCCTGAAATTGTGTTTGTATTTATGTTTTTACTTGTATTTTCGTCAAAAAATATTTCTTCCTCTCAGCAGTAAGTGTTTATTTCATACAGACACGGGTTTTTGCTCAGACTGGTGTGTTTGTGTTTGTGTGTGTGTGTGTGTGTGTGTGTGTGTGTGTGTGTGTGTGTGTGTGTGTGTGTGTGTGTGTGTGTGTGTGTGTGCGTGCGTGGGCGCGCATTGTTTACAGCAGAGAAAGATTTTTAAAAAATATGAGTGACAGAGAGCGACAGATAGAGAGAGACTGAGAGAGAGACAGACAGACACAGAGAAAGAGAGAGAGAGAGAGAGAGAGAGAGAGAGAGAGAGAGAGAGAGAGAGAGAGAGAGAGAGAGAGAGAGAGAGAGAAGGACGAAAGAGGAGTAGGAATAAACTGGTAGTTATCAGTACGACCAGAAAACTACAAACTGTCAAAAACCACGTTTGCCACATCCTGTTATTTTAACCAGACCTGGTAAACTCTCGAGAGTTCGTATTCTCATAATGCGTAAGTTGAACAACTTTTTTTTTTCGAGTCATTATAATGGATTATTGTCATGAGTATGTTTATGAATATGTTTTATTCACTATTCTACTTGGGAGAAAACATTTCACCTGATGGCGACTTCTAGCTTGTGATCAATTCTATTGTTTTGTTATTAATTTGAACAGGTATATTATAACAATAATTGTGTATATTGTTTGGACAATCGGATATTAATTTATGAACGTTAATGAATTATGTTAATTAATGGCTTCTACGCACCGAAGATTTGCGTACTGTATATATATATTTCTAAGGAATTCGTTGTTGATTATATATGTACATTTCTGATGATGTAGTATTTGTTTTGTTTTGATTTTTTAAGGCCCAAGTCGGTAACAATAATGAGGGGTATTTTGTGCATAACTATTGTCATGATTTCAAATTGTGTTTCACTGTCACTGTTAAGATACCTTGATCATACTATCATTTTCGTCATCATTATTATCGCTAGCATCAGCATTGGTACATGTATCTTTATCTTTGTCATCATCATCATCATCATCATCATCATCATCATCATCATCATCATCATCATCGTCGTCATCATCATGGTAGCGACTGAAGAGATGACATGTCACAATATAGCTAGTCAAGAGGAATAACAAACCAAATAATGTACGTACATGTTGTGTCAATGTATGATACTGTAACAACAGTAGATACTTGTTTGTCCTCTTAGAGGACACTGGTAGCTCAGTGGGCATTTTGATGGTCTGCGGTGTTTTCAATGTTTGGATAAGATCAGATAAGATGAGATAAGATCAGATAAGATCAGATAAGATCAGATAAGATGAGATAAGATGAGATAAGAGAAGATAAATCTTTATTCTCCTGATGCTGGCACATTGGTTTGGTGTAACCACGTACACTCACGCACAGACACACACTCGAACACACACACACACGAACACACACACACAAACACACACATCACACACACACACACAAACACACACATCACACATGCATTTACACACACACACACACACACACACACACATGCATTTACACACACATGCTTTTACACACACACACACACACACACACACACACACACACACACACACACACACACACACACACACATACACACACACACACACACACACGAACGCGTACACTCATACTCATAGACACACACGAACACACACATCACACACCCACATACATAAAAACCCATGCACTTTTGTAAAATGCGTTCTGTGTTAAAAGTAACTTTTTAAAAAGTAACATTCTGAGTCAATGGTCCCCGCACCCCCACAAATCTTAGCATCAGATTTAGCGATTCTTTATACAGAAGCGTAGATCTATTACAAGTGTTGCTTGGTTTAACGGAGGGGTCGGTGAGTGTAGGGTTGGAGTTTGAATCCAAATTTCTTTTTTTATGCCAAAAGCGTAACATACTGATAGATCCTTATTGCATGGAAGACAGATCAAGTCAGATCAGTACACAGTTAGGCCACTCTTGTATGTTTACTTCTTATTTCCTGGATGATTAGGAATTTGACTGTATTATAATAATTATATGTACATGTATAAATATTACATATATACATTTCACTCATACATATATATTATGTATAGTACAGCGAAGAGTCCACCATCATGATCGATATGATATGTCCGTAAAGTTTCTCATCTTTACAAGTGCAATATGTAATTAATTCAGACAGTTGTAGTTTTCCCCTTTTGTTCTGTTTTGTTTTGTTATTTGTTTTTGTTTTTTTTAAATATATTTTCTTTGTCCTTCTCATCAGCATTGGAAATAAAGAAATGTTGAGATAAAAGAAAGATACTGAGTTGTTGCATGATGTTTTTGTAGATATGATTGTCCGTGTTTGTCCTTTGGTGGGTGGTTGGCGGGGGGTGCACAGGTTTGGTCGCTCCTTATTATTTCGTTACCCTGGAATTACAAAGTTCTATATGCCCAATACCCTGTTCTGAGAAATTTGACGTTACAATTTTGAGTTTCAAAACTCGACAATCTATTTTGAATGCAATTCTTTGAATAGTTTGATAATGACTCCGAAGAGTCTTACGATTTTCACAGAGCACATGATATAACAGTTATTTATTTCTGACTTCAAGGTCTTATAGTAACCCAGAACAGCCAAAAATGTCAGATAGATCTTTGTAATTCTAAAGTAGCAAATTGTCTTTGATGTGGCCACGTCTTTGGTGTAACGGTAAGGTGCTTTGCCACTGCATGCAGAAGACTATGGGTTCGATTCCCTTGTGAGAATTTTTTTTTTTTTTTTTTGAAAATCGAATGTCTCCGTCTGATTACGGGACCTTATATTATATCCTCTCAGCTCGGGTTGGTCCTGATAGATATGGCTAAAGCAACCCGTCTCCTATGAGACCTGAATTGGGTTGATGGGGCGTAAAACGCCTGCGTGGGTGATTAGGGGATGCTTTGGTGTGGTAAAACGCTTCCCAAAACGAATCTATCTATGTATCTATCTATCTATCTATCTATCTATCTATCTATCTATCTATCTATCTATCTATCTGGGGCTCTCGTGGCCAAGAGGTTCGCCTCTCATTCAAATGTCCCGGGTTCGAATCCGGGTAGCGACGGGACGTTTTCTTCTCTAAAATAGGACAATTTTCTTCTCTAAAATTGTCTCCTTTAACCTCATTTTCTGCCACACCCCTGATCTTCTAGCAGGAAAGATCTACACCTAGCCTTCTCGGACAAGGGCGAAAAATCTCGGAGGTCCGGTGTCCGGTGTGCAAGTTGCGCACTTTAAAAATCCCTTGGTGGTCTAAAACCGATAAGAGTAGGATTCGCCGCCAAAATTCAAAATTTCCCACCAACTGAAAATTAATAAATGTTTAATGTGTCCGCGCGCTCATATGACCTTATACAGTTGCGAGCGCCGTAAAACACTAAACAAAACAAAACAAATTATCTATCTATCTGTCAGTAATCAACAAAAAACAAACACGACAGCGAACACAATTTCAGCACATCTTGCCGTGGAATTTAACAATATTTGTGCAGGCTGTAAGAGAAAGGAAGTTTAGTTGTGTGCACATAAGACATGACTGTGATGATTTTGAGAATAATCGTTTACTCAGGCTTCATAAAAAGATGCCTGCGCAAGTATTTTTTTTTTCCTTTTCGACAATTTCTTTTCTTTGTGGTTGATTATTTTGAACCCGTGTCTGTGATGTAGCAGTTAATCCTTTCACCGTCACACACACGAGACTGGACTTCCTATCTGCAGGGATGTATCCCTCTCAGCTAGAGCTGGGCGAAGAATCCATTCTGGAACCGATTCCCACGATTAATGTAGAAGAAAAGTTCCGACTCCTTTTTACGTAAACCAACAGTTATCAGCTACTTCAATCACTAAAATCTTTTTTTTTAAGAGTTTATTTTTGAAAAATAAAAGTAGTTGGTTTGTAATCTTCTGAAATCAAGGTCATCCCAAACCTTGAAGATGTTTTGAGCCAAACAGGTAACCACCGGAAGAAATTATATCATTAGAAAGTAAGTAATTGGGATCGGAGTCGATTCCTACGATTCCTAGCTTTCAA